CATGATTCTTGCATGTCTCTGTTTGTATGTTTTCGGATTTCGGTCCGATGCCGGGCGGGGCCCGAGGAATGTTAATATGTTTATGTTATGTGTTTATGTTTATATGTATATGTTGATATGCTTATGTATACCGAGCTTTGCTCGATGTCGGGCCGGGCCTGATGTAGTGGGCTAGGCCTAAGTTATGTTTATGTTACGTGTATGTTGTATGCTTGATTATATGTTATATTTATATCGGACTTTGGTCCGATGCCGGGTGGGGCCCGATGCCCGATGCCAGATGCGGCCGGAAGCCGGGCGGGGCTTGATGTAGCATGCAAGGCCCAATGTGATGTTTATATGTTTATGATTATGTGATTATGTTTATGTAATTGTGGATATGATCATTTGTATACCGAGCTTTGCTCAATGCCGGGCGGGGCCCGATGTAGCAGGGCGTGGCCCACAATGTGGTTGTGTGACATGTGTATGGTATGTGCTAGATTGGGGAGACTCACTAAGCTTCGTGCTTATAATTTTCAGTTTTGGTTTCAGGTACTTTGGTTTTCAAAAGAGGAGCTCGGCATGATTGCAGTGCACACACCATTTGTTTAGCCTATGATGTTTTCACTCTTATATTTTGAAACATGATTTTGATATAGTATTTTGTTATGATGATTTGAGATACATGGATTATGATCTTTATTGTGATGTTTGATGAATTATAGTTTTCTTAAGTGATTTGAAAACGAAAATTTTGGACTGTATATTTGGGATGTTTCAAGTTGGTATCAGAGCCTTGGTTTGAGGGATTCGTGCACACTCTTGGGTGTGTCTAAAGTCAAAATAAGGACATGGTATGAAAATTTTCAAAAGAAAATTATTTTTACAATAAAAATTTTAAAAGAGAAAAGAACTTTGAAAAGAGAAAAAGGGTGTGGTGCATGCAATCAGCCGAGCTCAAGTAAGTACTCCCAAATTACCCATACAAATTATGTTATGATATGTTTACGAGAATTGCATGCTAGATTAGGACTAATGGTCCAGGAAGGATGCCTTATGTGCCTAATATATATGTAGCAACTTTATGAGAATTGCATGCTAGATTAGGGCTAAGGATCTAGGAAGGATGACTTATGTGCCTGTTATGTGTATTCCAGCTTTATGAACCGCATGCTAGTACAGATTAGTCAGTGATGGCCTGAATGTGATATGCTTGATTATGTGTACTCGATGCTCGAATGCTGCTTGCTTTGTGCTTTTAGGAGTTCAAGTTGTCTCTTACTAAATAGTAAATGAATATGTTAAGTTGCATATTGCGAGGATTAAATAATTTCAGAAGGTTAGGTGTAGCTCTATTTCCCAGCTCTTGTTTGAGTCCAACCATTGGAGGGTATGATCTCTCATTCGAAGAATTATTTAGTCTTAGTGATATTTAATAGTATTCACAAGCTACTTAGGGGGAGATAGCAGGGACTTCTTATGCAGCTGATAGCGGAGAGTGGATTGGTGATTACCCTAGGGCAAGCCTAGGATGAGTTAGCATGAGATCAACAGTAGTAGTAGAAGGGACTTGGTGGCGTCGAGGCAGTTCTTGAGGAAAGTACGGATAGATACGGAAGGTAGTATGGGCCCGTACTACTGAAAGCAGAGGATCCGTACTCGAATCAAGGAAGGATGAGATGAACCCAGGAAACTTGTAGTGTGTGAGATCCCCCGAGTTATGATGAGTATTATGATGATTGTGATGGTATATTTCCGAGTATATTGACGCTACGTGGTAGACCAGATGGCAGTTCTGGTGCCGGGGAGGGATCAGGCTCAGACTCTGGAGCCGTGAGGCTCAATCATCATATGAGGGATTTCATTTCATCTGAGATTATGTACAGTATCATTGACCAGACTCCTGTGATCTTCAGTATGATGAAGGAGGGCATTTTAGAGATTTGTCATGAGAGGCTGAGTGCATTCTGCACTGAGATAGCAGCCATGATAGGGACGTGTACATTGAAAATTTGGGAGTTCACAGTTTGTGAAGCTCTAGATTATCATGGGGCTAGGAACCCCATTTCTAGCAGCAGGTGATTAGCAGATGTTGCCAATATTTTCGTACCAGCCTTAGTCTTGAAAGGCGACAATGACCGAATATTTTCCTACCTCCTGAAGGACAGGGTACATGATTGATGGGAAGAGGTTGGAAGTGAGTTGGGTGATAATGCGATCGATGCTATCTCATGGGATGACTTTTCGACCAGATTCCGGGAAGAATTTGCCCAGACGATTGAGGCGCAACAGTTGGCGCAAGAGTTATTAGATCTCCGCCAGACTACTGAGACTGTGGCAGAGATCACTGCCAAGTCTCGGGAGAGAGCTTATTTGGTATCCCAGTATGCAGAAGATGAGGAAACGAATAAGATAATGTATCATGACATACTGCTGTGAGTGTCTTGGGGTGCAAGACCATGAATGATATGACTTCTAGAGCCCGAGAACAAGGTATGGACTTGGAGCACATTGGTAAGACGGAATCAATTCAGTTACATATATCGAAGGGTCTCAGGAGGAGACCCAAGATTTAGGATCAACTTTTGAGAGGCCAGTAGGGCCAAATTTGGTGCAGCATGTGTGGTGAACTGCACGATAGAGTCTTTCGTTCCAAGGGTTTGAGTAAGTGTAACTCTGGGTTTATCCTCTGTTTGTGTTTGAATTATATTTCCAAGAGATGTCATACGCCAATTGCATACCGAGAATTATTAGTGGATGACGAAAGGTCATTTCCTTAATTGTGGATTCGAGAAGTATTCATCGGGTTCTTAGAAGTTGTGTGATCTTTTGGATCGGCGAGTATTGGAAAACTAGTAATGGTAAGCGTGGTTTCCAGCAGATTCGTCATGGGATGGTGAGAAGGATTGAGAATCCTTTCGAGTAATTTGTGTTGCAAGATGTTAGTTAAATCAAAGTGGGGGAGAATCGTTCATGGATTCAGAAGCAGGTGCAGTTTTGAAACTAGGATAAGTTTTGAAACTAGGATAAGTTTGACATCCTTATCAGAAAGGAAGATATCCCAAGCGGCTATATAGATTAAGGATAGTGTAATTTGGAAGTTCGAAAAACTTGCCAATAATGAGATCGCGTTCTCGGAAGGTTTGCTAGCAAGCCTTAGGGAATCAAGTTGGGGATTCCAGTCAGGACATGAGATAAGTTTAGGATGATAGGTCATGTGTATGCTCGACGTTGGATGTGTTCGGATTAGTAATCTGTGATTGAGATAGTGTGGAAAGTGTTGTTAGACTGTGGGATAGCCGTAGCATTTACCAGTAGCGAGACAGCGTGGAAAGTGTTGTAAGTCTATGGGTGTAGCCGTAGCATTCATAAGGTTAGCAGATCGTGTGGGAAGTGTTGAAAGTCTGCGGGTGTAGCCGTAGCATTCACAAGGTTAGCAGATAGTGTGGGAAGTGTTGTAAGTCTGTGGATGTAGCCATAGCATTCACAAGGTTAGCAGATAGTGTGGGGAGTGTTTTAAGTCTGCGGGTGTAGCCGTAGCATTCACAAGGTTAAAAGATAGTGTTAGAGTGTTGTTAGTCTGCGGGTGTAGCCGTAGCATTCACTAGGTTGGTAGACAGCATGGGAGTGTTGTTAGATAAAAGGAACAGTAGTACCCACCAGTTCGGGTGCAACAGTGACGGTGTGGCAATTACGCGGATTGGTTTACGGATTTCCCCAGATGAATTCGACCTTTTTCAGCCAGTGATAAGTCCGTAGAAACATCACTATAGTCATGGGATCAAGGAAGCGATGGGTCGTTTAAGGTCGTTTGTGATATAAGGCTACCCTTGGTCATGTGGCAATCACTTTTAGCCTTGGATTTGGTGACGTCAGGACTCGATGTATGGACACGATTAGTTAGATCAGAAAGTCGTTAGAGCCACAGTGGCAAGATAACTAGAGGCAACTATTGATAGTCAAGGATTTCGTTCGGAAGTCGCATGGGAGTCCTTGGGCTCCGCAACCGGGCCGGAACCTGGTATTTCAGATGACTAGTGAACGAATTGAGACCAGGGAGGTCTCGGTAGATTTTAGAAGGCAACCAGGGTGCAGCATCCTGTTTGAGGCAGTTCAGTGCTTCGGACAGTTTTAGTGTCTCAAGCGGTAATGGTATTTTAGGATTTCATGTACGGTTAGAGTCACAGATAGCTTGGGTGATGCTAAGTCACTCACATCGGGATTATCTGAGCCTTGGCCAAGTATAAGTGATTTGCAGGGATAATTGGGTTTGTGATTCTGTTTTCTTGTGTGAACTTCGAGTTATTAGAAGTTGAATAGTCAGTTGACAGATAAGTGGATTGGATTCAGCAATAAGGATTCGATATGGGTGTCTGCCAGGGAGTCAGACCATCTGGAGACTTCATATTTCAAATTGGGTAAGTATGATTGTGTTGAAATGAATTCATTCATTTTTGGGTTTTAGAACCCTGTGAGGGTTGACTTTGATTGCCTTGGGAAGGCCGAAGTTAGGCTCGGGATTGTGGTCATTGCATTCAAGTTGTCTGGCGTATAAGGGATGGTAAGGAATGATTTCGAGGACGAAATCTAATTTAAGTGGAGGAGAGTTGTAACATCCCGTTTATTAAATAAATAAATAGATAAAAATTTAAATGAGTAGTAGCCCTAAATGAAGAATACTTTAGCAAGGTGTTGGTCTCGAGGAGTTAATTGTTACAATGTTAGAAGGTGGCGGTTAAAAGTGCAACTTCCGGAGTGGTTTGTAAATATTTATGTAAAGGAGGGGATGTTTGGTAAGTTTTGGACCTAAAATGAAATGAATTTATGGAATCAAAGGCTAAAGGGTAACTATTGGATTAAAGTTGAAGAGGATCTGGTAAGGAGGGGCTGATCTTGTAAAAACGCTCAAATGTTTGAAGAGAGGCACGGGTTATACCGGTTTTCCCTCCTGTCATCTAACCCTAAACCTAAGGCGTCATTCTCCAGCCGCCACCGTGGGAAATCATCCAGTCGTCGCCTCATATCCGTTGTTGAAGCCGTAAGCTGCCAAAGCCAAACCGCCGACAGGTTTGTCGACAACGACGAAGAGCATCACATGGGACATCGTAATCGTGGACTACCATTGATATCGTTTGTCGGCGAGGTCGCAATATCGGTTCCCATCGTCGCCACCACTCCTTCTCACCCCATTCTACTCCGCATCGGCTAAATCGTGCTGCCGCCATCGACGTTGCCCCTTGCGGTTGTTTCTCTTCTCGGGAAACATCTCTGGTCGCCGCTTCAGTGAACATGGAGGCTGTGGGTAAGTTACGTAGTGTTTTTCCGTGATTTCAAGATGTGTGTGTTTGTGTTTTTTATGGTCGGCATACGTGGGTAACCACCAAGGTAGCCAACCATGGTGGCTGCCGCCATATAGCTTCTTTTTGCCACCCTTTGCCGCCACCAGCCACCGTAGGAGGTGGCTGTGTGTGTATGTATATTATGTGTGAAGTTGTATATGTGATTTTTGGGTAGGAACCACCACCACCACCATTGGAAATGGTGGTTGCCGCCGCCTTCCGCCATGAGCCACCGCCGAGTGGAACCCTAATTGGCCCAATAGCTTAATCTTGGACTGGGCTGGCTCGTGATTGGGCTAGAAACCCTAATTAGGGTTTGGAAAACCAAACTCTTTCAAACATTCTACTTGTTCATTTATTGTCTTTACATTCATCATTCTCATTACTCCATATTTAATATTTGAAGTACTTTGTTGATTATCATCTTTAGTCTTGACTGGTCTTGCCAGACTTGACTGGAACTATTAATCAGAAGTAGACGTTGATCTTAAGCATTAACTCAAGGTTTGAGTTTTCAAGCCTTGTGCCTGCGTAGTCAGATCCTTGTTCTCACAATTGGGATCAGAGCTTGAGTGGTTGTCCTTTGAATCCATAAGAACAGATTATAGTTGATTCGATATTACATTGGTATTTCGATCATTTCTTTGTTCAGGATAAAAGTTCTTCTACATACCACTTTTGTGCAAGATATCTTAACTTCAACGACTTCTTCTAATTCTCAACAAATGTACTAAATGCAAATAGCAAATAGTGTGGGTTGCCCTACACGTGCCCCACTGGTAGTTGTTGAAGAGTATGATCACTGGAAAGTCAGAAAGGAAAGATTTTTACTTGGAAAGTAAAAAGGTGAATCTATCTGGAGATTCGTTAAAGAAGGTCCCCATGTTCTAGTTCGAACCATTGTTAGAGATGTTGCTGCAACTCTATTGGGACAGGATTAAAAACGTCAAGCACCTCTCACTGCTGATGATCTTGAAAAGCTGCATGCAGATCAAGTTGCCTTTTCCGAAATGGTGTTTGGTGTTCCACGTTCTCTCTTTGAGCACATCAAACTGTGCAAATCCGCAAAAGAGATTTGGGACACACTTCAAGATTTGTTCGAAGGGTCATAGAACATGAAGGATAAGTGTCTAACCTCGGTTCTCAATGAGTTCGACAGTTTCACTACAACACCTGGTGAATCTATTGTCTCAGCCTCAAACAGATACTGAATCTTCGTCAACAACATGACAGCTCATGGGATAGTCCGAACCCCACTTGAGTACGACCTCAAGTTCATTAACAGCCTAAGAAAAGGATGGGGAAATGTGATATCATGTCTTCAGAGTAATGGATCTCTAAAAACGCTAAAGCTCTATCAACTTTTCAATGAGATTCGAGGACATGAATCAAATGTTGCACAAACCCTACGTGAACTCACTGGAGGTCCTCTAGCTCTAGTCAGTTCCTATGATCCAAAAACTCCAAACCTGACCGTCATGGACCCCTTCGCTGATGTTGTTCCGTATATCCCTCTTGCTCAACCCTCACCTCCAACCATACCTGCTCCCACAAACACCAACTATCAATCAATGGGTGATCTTAAACCTGAAGAGATAGACTCCGAACTCCGTTTCCAACAAGATTTTGCCCTGCTTTCCATGAGATACAACCTTCCTTTCAACAAGCCATATAACAATCCTTTCCAGGATCCTCACCAAAATAACCGTTTCCAGGCTCCTCACCAAAGTAACCCTCAACCATTTTCTAATCCTTTAGAAAACCCACCTACTTACAAACCTAACCTTCCTACACCAAATCGCACTTTAGAATCTTCAAAAACTCCGAAGTCTGACAAACCCAAGGTCGTATGTCACAAATGTGGTCATGCAAATCACTTTGCCAAAGACTGCTTAGCTGAAGCTCCACAAAAACCCAAGATTAAGGATTCTGCTTACTATGCACGTCGAGCTCAAGAAATGGCAGAAAGTGAAAAGGCTTTTGTTACAACTATATCAAGGGATGTGGAAGGATATTGGTCTTCTGGAGATGATGATGATGTGAGTACTATAAGAAACATGTGCTTTATGGCTAGACAAACAATTGAATGTGATGAAGGCTACTGGTCGTCCGGATCTGAAGATGATTGTGAAGATGTTGAACCAAAGTACTGCTACATGGCTACCAACGATGCACCCGGTAGAAGCATCATTCAATAGGTATAATTTTGACTTATCTCTTTGTGAACCATATTGTCACACCCCCAAACCAGACGGCGGAAACGTTCGGGGGTGGAGGACTTCAATTGTAGTATCACAACACATGCATCATAGTAATCAAAGTACAAACAACCATTGTATTTAAAAAGTATAAGTATTTACATGTGTTCAATCATTGTATATTGAAACCAAAATAGTTATATAAAAGAAGAAGATATGACTCAAAGTAGCTCCATCTTCTCAAAAAGCTCGGGGAGTACCTGTTTATTGTTTCCCTGAGAATACAAGTAATTTCAAAAGGGAGTATCAACATAAAGTTGAGTGAGTGCATAAGTTTTTATGTTTAAAAAGGTGTCTCTGTATCTAGCATATGTAAAATGTTCCAAAAAATCCTATATTTTCTGTTGTATATGAAAACTAGTTTTATTCCCATAAAACCGTTCTATTTGTAAACCAATGATCTATGTTTGTAAAACTTATAACTGAGAGTGTGCCTGGCTTCACCAACTGTTATTGAAAACTGTATTGAACCATTGTAGTTTGTATTCTATAAACTGGTACTTTGAAGGTGTACTTACGTTTAGTTGATTATACACTAACGTATTGTTAATATCTTTCTAATGAGATATTATAACCATACTATGACAGGATGGCCTGAAACAAACGCTTTGTGGGCGTTTAAACTGTTGATAACAATTGCCACTCATTGGTGTGTATGCCTGACTTTAGCTAGCAGCCTGAGTGCGGGGTTGTCAATCCCGATATAGATCTACACACAACTTGTTTCAATCCCCTGCCTGGAGATTCTGGTTATAATGTCAGGACTTTACCTTGGTTATATAAATGAATTAAACAACCTGAATTGAATGACTCATAATAAGCATATAAATGTTACATGTATATTAGTTACGAAAACCCAATCATTCTGAAATAAATGATTGACAATATGTTCTTGAATTAGTATTCCGAACATGTATTTGACAAGTGTAAACTGTCACACCCCGACCGTCGGCGGAAACACCGGGTAGTGTAACGTCATTTCTCGTATCATAGTTATCAACTTCCTGAAAACACATGCAATTTAAAAATACGTCAACATAAAGTTGGTGAGTTCACAGGTTTTGACTCCATAAAATAATACATTTTCCATGTTCAAAAGTATAGTTTTGAAAGTATCATTTTGACTCTCCAACGTTTAGTATATATATCCTAGGTATAAAAGTTTACTTACCAAATAAGTAGTTTACCTATAAGTCTCATATACTATGAATATAAGTGTTTGTAATTCCATACAAACAAAAGTTGCTACGTATAAATCTTATTTCAATTCTATACGAGTAAAACCGCTACGTATAAATCTATTTCAATTCTATACGAGTATGTGTGTTAGGTATAATTATCTACTTAATATACAAGTAGTACCTAGGGTATAAGTAGGGGGAAACTTATACTTAACATTAATACTTGTATAAGGACAAAGTATAATGCTTCTAACAATTTGCTACCATGAGTCCGTAACCGCTGCTTGACAACAAAACCTCTGACAAAACAATACACTCATGATTTACCATGAGAAACAATACACTCATGATTTACCATGAGAAACAACACCGCGCGCTTCATCGACGCCGGAATAAAAATAAAAGGAACGAATCGTCACTCGCTTGTCTTGGGTTGTAATTAACAACCACGAGTGGGGTCGTCAACCCCTATCTTATTCATACACGACTTCCTCGCTCACACAGGATTAACGGTTACATGTTAGAGGACTTCCACTAAGATCCCCAATCTTAATTGATGAATGAGGTAGCTCATGTAGACTTTGACGGCTTCCTATCGCTCTAACAACAAAAGCATTTTCATGTCTAAAACCCTAAGTCACTGGACTATGCTTTTAAACATTACTCCTAACTTCATAACATTTAGGCAGTATAACAGCTATATCTTGGAGTAAAACCAGGTTTTATATTGACCTAAAACCAATAATAACAACATATAACGTTCCTAGTTTTATTTTGACATAAAACTATCAATAGCAATACTAAGTTTTATCTTAACATAAAACTAACAATAACAACATATAACATATCCAGTTTTATCTTGACATAAAACCAATAACAACAACATATAACATACATGGTTCTATCTTGACATAAAACCAACAATAACAACATGTTTATCAATTAACATATAGAACTTCCGAGTATAACTCTGGAACTATATCGAACACAACACATATATATAGAATCCTAAGTATAACTCAAGTTCTACATTAGTATACTACTATAACAATAACATGCTAACAACTTTACGATAGTTGTATACTTTCAGATACGAAATAACTATATCCCGGTTATTATAACTATCTACGTTGATACTAATATATTATCATATAATAATAACGTATATATAATATTTAGCATGCGTTTTCCCCCGAAAATATTAGAAAGTGGGGCCGTGAAACTCACCTTAGTAGCGTGATTATAGAATCTAAACGGTCAGAGGCTCGTCGTTGTCAGGCTCGAGAAGGGAAAACGGCCTTCGGAAACGAGAGAGAATGAAAGGAGAAGGTGTAAGGATTGAATGAGCTTTGATTGCTATTTATAGGGTGTTCTGGGGCCATTCACGTCGTAAACATGATAGGTTCACGTCGTGAACTTCCATGAGTCACCCCATAGCCTTAACGCGTGTTTTCTAGCTCGGATTAGTGTCTGTTGACTCCTCACGTCGTGAATTTTGTATGCTCACGTCGTG